AGGAGATTGGTGACTAAAGGTGTATATTCTTGGATTCACCGGATTTACTTGGATTCATCGGATTTACTTGGATTCATCGGATTTACTTAGATTCACTGGATTTACCTGGATTCACTGGGTTTCTGGGCTTAGCGCGTGGGGTGCGATGTGTGTGTGTGTGTGTGTGTGTGTGTGTATTCACCTAGTTGTATTCACCTAGTTGTGTTTGCGGGGGTTGAGCTTTGCTCTTTCGGCCCGTCTATCAACTGTTTACTAACTACTTTTTTTTTCCTCTCCACACCACACACACACCCCAGGAAGCAGCCCGTGACAGCTGACTAACTCCAAGGTACCTATTTACTGCTAGGTAACAGGGGCATTCAGTTTGAAAGATTTGTTTCATTTGTTTCTGCCTCGTGCGGGAATCGAACCCGCGCCACAGAATTACGAGTCCTGCGCGCTATCCACCAGGCTACGAGGCCCCCTTCCAATGTGTGTGTGTGTGTGTGTGTGTGTGTGTGTGTACTCACCTAGTTCTCACCTAGTTGTGTGTGTGTGTGTGTGTGTTTACTAGTTGTGTTTACTAGTTGTGTTTTTACGGGGGTTGAGCTTTGCTCTTTCGGCCCGCTTCTCAACTGTCAATCAACTGTTTACTAACTACTATTTTTTTTTTTTCCCCACACCACACACACACCCCCAGGAAGCAGCCCGTGACAGCTGACTAACTCCCAGGTACCTATTTACTGCTAGGTAACAGGGGCATTCAGGGTGAAAGAAACTTTGCCCATTTGTTTCTGCCTCGTGCGGGAATCGAACCCGCGCCACAGAATTACGAATCCTGCGCGCTATCCACCAGGCTACGAGGCCCCCACGAGTGTGTGTGTGTGTGTGTGTGTGTGTGTGTGTGTGTGTGTGTGTGTGTGATCTTACTCTAAACATTTCCAGATTTCCCTCTCTTGGACCTGTTCTTTTACTTTGGGTCAAACCTCCAATTTGTCAGCGACAACGAACGTGCATAATAACATTTCATGAAATGTTTGGGGTCGAAAATGCTTGGGGGGGTCGACCGCTGGATGGAATGGATTGGGTTTGACGACGGGTTGGGTGCAGGGAATGGACTTTGGCCCTTGTTTATGAGGACGGGCAGGAAATAAGTGGTTGTGGCGATGCTGAACTTTTAAACGGAGTTTACACAGTTTCGCGGAATGGACGAATCTCGTAAGAAAATGCTTTCATTATATTTCATAAAAAATCATCTAGCCTTATATGTTTTCAAAGGGTAAATATGATGTTCCTCTTTAACTTTAACCTTTCATTAAGGAATTTACCTCCGACCTCTAACTGTCCACCTGGCTTTGACCTCTGGCTTTGACCTCTGGCTTTGACCTCTGGCTTTGACCTCTGGCTTTGACCTCTGGCTTTGACCTCTGGCTTTGACCTTGGCAAAAGACACTTGACCTTAATGTACAACATTGATCTCAAACATTAACCCTTCCCCCACCCCCCCCCCACCTTCCTTAAACTCGATTATGACTCTGGAATTTGGAATTTGAACTTGACATTTCAATTTGAATTGTTTACGCAAATCAACCACAGTTAACGAGGCGCCTCTTACGAATATAGAATACTCGACCATCAGATAACAAATGCCGTTTAGAGAGGCACAGTAAACAGGCAGCCGTTACCTTGAGGTTACCTTGAGGTTACCTTGAGGTGCTTCCGGGGCTTAACATCCCCGCGGCCCGGTCGTCAAGTTCAAGTATGTTTATTGAGACAAGAGAGAACTACATCTCAAAGGGATAGAGTAGCTTAGGCTATTTCTACCCTCCCTTAGGCCCGGTCGTCGACCAGGCCTCCTTGTTGCTGGACTGGTCAACCAGGCTGTTGGACGCGGCTGCTCGCAGCCTGACGTACGAGCAGCCGCCGTGAGGCAGATATACCTACCTCCAGCCTACGAGACCCGAGATCATTCATCAGGCAATGTTGCGACCTAAACTCATCATTATTCAACACCTTGGATGATTTTTAGCCTAATTTGTGTTTTTCATTCCTATTGCAGCATAACTTCCTGTAAGGACATGTTGTCAGCAGAACACAAGCTGAGTGCATCACGCTTTTATGGAGGCTAAGTTAAGTCTGGCTTGGCAAAAGTAAGCTATTATAATTACTAATTATAATAGGTTGGAGCCAGATTCACGAAGCAGTTACGCAAGCACTTACGAACGTGTACATCTTTGCTCAATCTTTGGCGGCTTTGTTTACAATTATTAAAGAGTTAATGAAGCACCAGGAGGCTGTTTATAACAATAACAACAGTTGATTGGCAAGTTTTCATGCTTGTAAACTGTTTAATAAATGTAACCAAAGCCGTCAAAGATTGAGGAAAGATGAACACGTTCGTAAGTGCTTGCGTAACTGCTTCGTGAATCTTGCCGCAGGTCCTTAATCTTAATTATTTCCCCTTGGAATACGACCCGCCAAATCGTTTAAGAACCAGGTACCCATTCACTGCTGGGTGAACAGAGGCAACAGTTAAGGATTGGCGCTTAGTCCAACCCGTCTTCCTAATAGAACATCGCATTTTGGCGAATACTCTAAGACCATCGTTGTATTGCAAAATGGAAGCGACTCGCGAAAGTGACATATTGTTCCGTTTTCTGTTTTGGGTCCTCTGGCAGGTTAGGATAAGGGCACATTGTACACGTACACCCAGCAGGAGTGACACATTGTACACATACACCCAGCAGGAGGGACACATTGTACACATACACCCAGCAGGAGTGACACATTGTACACACACACACCCAGCAGGAGTGACACATTGTACAGATACAACCAGCAAGAGTGACACATTGTACACATACACCCAGCAGGAGTGACACATTGTACACACATACACCCAGCAAGAGTGACACATTGTACACACTCACACAGCAGGAGTGACACATTGTACACACACACACACAGCAAGAGTGACACATTGTACACACTCACACACAGCAAGAGTGACACATTGTACACACTCACACACAGCAGGAGTGACACATTGTACACACTCACACACAGCAAGAGTGACACATTGTACACATACACACACAGCAGGAGTGACACATTGTACACACTCACACAGCAAGAGTGACACATTGTACACATACACACACAGCAGGAGTGACACATTGTACACACATACACCCAGCAAGAGTGACACATTGTACACACTCACACAGCAAGAGTGACACATTGTACACACACACACACAGCAAGAGTGACACATTGTACACACACACACACAGCAAGAGTGACACATTGTACACACACACCCAGCAAGAGTGACACATTGTACACACACACCCAGCAAGAGTGACACATTGTACACACATACACCCAGCAAGAGTGACACATTGTACACACACACACACAGCAAGAGTGGCACATTGTACACACACACACAGCAAGAGTGACACATTGTACACACACACACCCAGCAAGAGTGACACATTGTACACACACACACACACAGCAAGAGTGACACATTGTACACACACACACACAGCAAGAGTGACACATTGTACACATACACCCAGCAAGAGTGACACATTGTACACACTCACACAGCAAGAGTGACACATTGTACACATACACACACAGCAAGAGTGACACATTGTACACATACACCCAGCAAGAGTGACACATTGTACACATACACACACAGCAAGAGTGACACATTGTACACACACACACACACACACAGCAAGAGTGACACATTGTACACACTCACACAGCAAGAGTGACACATTGTACACACACACACCCAGCAAGAGTGACACATTGTACACACACACACACAGCAAGAGTGACACATTGTACACACACACACACACAGCAAGAGTGACACATTGTACACACACACACCCAGCAAGAGTGACACATTGTACACATACACACACAGCAAGAGTGACACATTGTACACATACACACACAGCAAGAGGGACACATTGTACACACACACCCAGCAAGAGTGACACATTGTACACACTCACACAGCAAGAGTGACACATTGTACACACACACACACAGCAAGAGTGACACATTGTACACATACACACACAGCAAGAGTGACACATTGTACACACACACACACAGCAAGAGTGACACATTGTACACACACACACACAGCAAGAGTGACACATTGTACACATACACCCAGCAAGAGTGACACATTGTACACACACACCCAGCAAGAGTGACACATTGTACACATACACCCAGCAAGAGTGACACATTGTACACATACACCCAGCAAGAGTGACACATTGTACACATACACCCAGCAAGAGTGACACATTGTACACACACACACACAGCAAGAGTGACACATTGTACACATACACCCAGCAAGAGTGACACATTGTACACATACACCCAGCAAGAGTGACACATTGTACACATACACCCAGCAAGAGTGACACATTGTACACACACACACAGCAAGAGTGACACATTGTACACACACACACCCAGCAAGAGTGACACATTGTACACATACACACACAGCAAGAGTGACACATTGTACACATACACACACAGCAAGAGTGACACATTGTACACATACACCCACAGCAAGAGTGACACATTGTACACACACACCCAGCAAGAGTGACACATTGTACACACACACACCCAGCAAGAGTGACACATTGTACACATACACCCACAGCAAGAGTGACACATTGTACACATACACCCAGCAAGAGGGACACATGCTACATTCTTCACCCTCTGGACAAAAACAAAATGAATATTTCACTGAGAAATATGAAGAAAACGTCAAGGAGGAAACAGATGAGGAGAAAAAATACAGGAGACGCGTCAAGAAAACAATAAAAGTAAGACAAATTAATACTCCTTAAAGACTCACGAAGAGGCGGAACAAGTAAAGAGGATAATAGAGCCTTAATAACAAAAATAAAACAAAGGAAGAAAAGGAGATAAGTCAAAACGATCACAGGATCTCTCTTGATTCAGCTTAAATAATGAAGAAAATCAAAGATGAGAGTTAGAAGCTGGGTTCGACACCTTTTAATTAGGCAAGAAACTTTGTACCGGGTCAAAAAACTAAGCCGCAGAAGGGCTCCTCCTGAAGGGCTGCTCCTGAAGGGCTGCTCCTGAAGGGCTGCTCCTGAAGGGCTGCTCCTGAAGGGCTGCTCCTGAAGGGCTGCTCCTGAAGGGCGTGCCTTGAAGGGCTCCTCCTGAAGGGCTGCTCCTGAAGGGCTCCTCCTGAAGGGCTGCTCCTGAAGGGCTGCTCCTGAAGGGCTGCTCCTGAAGGGCGTGCCTTGAAGGGCTCCTCCTGAAGGGCTGCTCCTGAAGGGCTGTTCCTGAAGGGCTGCTCCTGAAGGGCTCCTCTTGAAGGGCTCCTCCTGAAGGGCGTGCCTTGAAGGGCTCCTCCTGAAGGGCTGCTCCTGAAGGGCTGCTCCTGAAGGGCTGCTCCTGAAGGGCTCCTCTTGAAGGGCTGCTCCTGAAGGGCTGCTCCTGAAGGGCTGCTCCTGAAGGGCTCCTCCTGAAGGGCGTGCCTTGAAGGGCTCCTCCTGAAGGGCTGCTCCTGAAGGGCTGCTCCTGAAGGGCTGCTCCTGAAGGGCTCCTCTTGAAGGGCTGCTCCTGAAGGGCTCCTCCTGAAGGGCTCCTCCTGAAGGGCTGCTCCTGAAGGGCTCCTCTTGAAGGGCTGCTCCTGAAGGGCTGCTCCTGAAGGGCGTGCCTTGAAGGGCTCCTCCTGAAGGGCTGCTCCTGAAGGGCTGCTCCTGAAGGGCGTGCCTTGAAGGGCTCCTCCTGAAGGGCTGCTCCTGAAGGGCTGCTCCTGAAGGGCTGCTCCTGAAGGGCGTGCCTTGAAGGGCTCCTCCTGAAGGGCTGCTCCTGAAGGGCTGCTCCTGAAGGGCTGCTCCTGAAGGGCGTGCCTTGAAGGGCTCCTCCTGAAGGGCTGCTCCTGAAGGGCTGCTCCTGAAGGGCTGCTCCTGAAGGGCTCCTCCTGAAGGGCGTGCCTTGAAGGGCTCCTCCTGAAGGGCGTGCCTTGAAGGGCTCCTCCTGAAGGGCTGCTCCTGAAGGGCTGCTCCTGAAGGGCTCCTCCTGAAGGGCTGCTCCTGAAGGGCTGCTCCTGAAGGGCTGCTCCTGAAGGGCTCCTCCTGAAGGGCTCCTCCTGAAGGGCTGCTCCTGAAGGGCGTGCCTTGAAGGGCTCCTCCTGAAGGGCTGCTCCTGAAGGGCGTGCCTTGAAGGGCTCCTCCTGAAGGGCTGCTCCTGAAGGGCTGCTCCTGAAGGGCTGCTCCTGAAGGGCTCCTCCTGAAGGGCTGCTCCTGAAGGGCTGCTCCTGAAGGGCTGCTCCTGAAGGGCTGCTCCTGAAGGGCTGCTCCTGAAGGGCTGCTCCTGAAGGGCTCCTCCTGAAGGGCTGCTCCTGAAGGGCTGCTCCTGAAGGGCTGCTCCTGAAGGGCTGCTCCTGAAGGGCTGCTCCTGAAGGGCTGCTCCTGAAGGGCTGCTCCTGAAGGGCTGCTCCTGAAGGGCGTGCCTTGAAGGGTAGCTCTGGAGGGGGAGTTGAGGTTTGTAGAGATACCTTTTTCTGGGATAAGGGGAAGGGGGGGCATTCGCATGAAATGAGAAGGATTGTATGCAATCATTTCTTCACTATTAGATTACATCACAATGACAAGTCTAGGGAAGTAGGCTCGGAATTGGACTCCTCTGAAGGCTTGGGGATAATAGTGTTTACTGGTACTACGACTTAATTACTGTAGACACCTCTCGGTACTCAGAATTCTTGTCCTTACTTTACCGTATGAGAGAGAGAGAGAGAGAGAGAGAGAGAGAGAGAGAGAGAGAGAGAGAGAGAGAGAGAGAGAGTATCTCTCGAAGAAGAAGAAGTAGAAGGGAGAGAGAGAGAGAAAGAGAGAGTGATATTTCATGTTCTGAGAAAGAGAGAGAGAGAGAAAGAGAGAGAGAGATATTGTGCCTATCAGTTCTTCACATAAATGTCGTAACACAGTGTGTTCTCAGCATCATCTCAAGGCTGCGAGGTTACATCTCACAAGCAAACATTTCTCCTCTTTTCAGACTGTCAATTACGGTGGCAGCGGAGCTCAGCTGGGGAAAGGTTAGTCACTAGTGATTTTTCAGACACTTTCCACATATTCCTGCCGTCACACGAAGCTCTGACAGTGAGTGAGAGTCTCCGTCACAAGCTCTGGACGTCGCGATGCGGACGTCACAATACGTCACTCGCTCAGTCAAGTTAAACTCAATTGTGTTTGTCCGGTAACCGAATGGGTAACCACTTGTCTTCCAGCAGGAATCCACCATAACATCACCAGTCTTCCTGTCCCTCGACAATGGCTTAGTAGTTGAAGCCAATATTATTTGGCAAAAATAATGGTTAGCCTTACACACAGAAATCACAATAGCGTGATGTATCACATGAACAAATCAACAAAGGCCGTGACGAGGATTCGAACCATAACATTATTTATGGTTAGCATTATATAAACTATGTATTTGAGAGGGGAATATATTTGATGGAATGAACTGTTAAGGGGACGGATTAAGACTATTTCTTAACTGCAAGAGCGAGAAAGAGAGATCATCACTTTGTTGTTCTGCAGCTCTGTTGAGTTAGTTTTTTCTGTTGAGTGAGATATTCTAAAGCCAAGTTGCGTTAGTTATGAACCTCGAGTTAGTTGCCTTGGATATCTAACGAGATAGCCAATATGTAGCAGAGGCGTTATCAAACCATTTTAGAGTACTACTGAAATCTTTCTCAGACAAAATGACACCAAATGACACAATTGGCACTTCATAACTCGTTATCACTCAAAGTTTCGAGTCACTCATAGTTCACAGTTGCTAAAAGATTCAAATCATTCATAGCTAATTACTAACATTTTTAGCTATTCATGTTCACAATGTATGTATTCTTACGGGGCTACTCATGCCCGTGCAACCTCTTGGGTGGCACGTTTTCATCCTTGCCGACATCCTTTCTCATTCTTAAGGGGGGGCCTGACGGCTGAGTGGACAGTGCTCTGTATTCGTAGTCCTAAGGTTCTGGGTTCGATCCTCGGCGAAGGCGGAAACAAATTGGCAGTTTCTTTCAGTCTGATGCTCCTGTTCACCTAGCAGTAAATAGGTACCTGGGAGTTAGACAGGTGCTACGGGCTGCTTCCTGGGGGATGTGTAACAAAAAGGAGGTCTGGTCGAGGACTGGGCCGCGGGGACAGTGCCGGAGCCAGCCAAGACTGGACCACAGTGCCGGAGCCAGCCAAGACTGGACCACAGTGCCGGAGCCAGCCAAGACTGGACCACAGTGCCGGAGCCAGCCAAGACTGGACCACAGTGCCGGAGCTAGCCAAGACTGGACCACAGTGCCGGAGCCAGCCAAGACTGGACCACAGTGCCGGAGCCAGCCAAGACTGGACCACAGTGCCGGAGCCAGCCAAGACTGGACCACAGTGCCGGAGCTAGCCAAGACTGGACCCACAGTGCCGGAGCCAGCCAAGACTGGACCACAGTGCCGGAGCCAGCCAAGACTGGACCACAGTGCCGGAGCCAGCCAAGACTGGACCACAGTGCCGGAGCCAGCCAAGACTGGACCACAGTGCCGGAGCCAGCCAAGACTGGACCACAGTGCCGGAGTCAGCCAAGACTGGACCACAGTGCCGGAGCCAGCCAAGACTGGACCACAGTGCCGGAGCCAGCCAAGACTGGACCACAGTGCCGGAGCCAGCCAAGACTGGACCACAGTGCCGGAGCCAGCCAAGACTGGACCACAGTGCCGGAGCCAGCCAAGACTGGACCACAGTGCCGGAGCCAGCCAAGACTGGACCACAGTGCCGGAGCCAGCCAAGACTGGACCACAGTGCCGGAGCCAGCCAAGACTGGACCACAGTGCCGGAGCCAGACAAGACTGGACCACAGTGCCGGAGCCAGCCAAGACTGGACCACAGTGCCGGAGCCAGCCAAGACTGGACCACAGTGCCGGAGACAGCCAAGACTGGACCACAGTGCCGGAGCCAGCCAAGACTGGACCACAGTGCCGGAGCCAGCCAAGACTGGACCACAGTGCCGGAGCCAGACAAGACTGGACCACAGTGCCGGAGCCAGCCAAGACTGGACCACAGTGCCGGAGCCAGACAAGACTGGACCACAGTGCCGGAGCCAGCCAAGACTGGACCACAGTGCCGGAGCCAGCCAAGACTGGACCACAGTGCCGGAGCCAGCCAAGACTGGACCACAGTGCCGGAGCCAGACAAGACTGGACCACAGTGCGGAGACAGCCAAGACTGGACCACAGTGCCGGAGCCAGCCAAGACTGGACCACAGTGCCGGAGCCAGCCAAGACTGGACCACAGTGCCGGAGCCAGACAAGACTGGACCACAGTGCCGGAGCCAGCCAAGACTGGACCTCCGTGGGTGGGAATATGAGGTGGAGACTCCGAGGGGTGACAAGAAGGACTGTATTTGCAACCCTCCAACACAACCAACGAATAAAGTTGCATTGTTTGGGCAGTTTTCGGGTGTTGAGGCAGGGGAGGTGTATGGACCAGGGGTGTGTGGGGGGTGACGCAGCCCCCCCAGTGGTACCCCACACCCACCCCAGGGGGGCCGTGGGGGACAGGGGGAGTGAGGAACTCAAGTAGCCCATACTGAGACATGTGGGAATCAGTGCGTTCCCAATCAGAGTCGGTGAGGCTGTAGTGCATTGTTGAAATATAAGTGTACAGGTGTATTCGCCAAGTGTTGGAAGTAAATAGGTGTGACCGCCCGCGTCCCTCGGGCACCTCCCTTTCGGCATAGTCTACCCGCTATGCTGGAGGCGGGAGAGAGGGAAGAGCTGATGGACAGCCAGGCATTAGGGCAACAGGGTATGGCGCATGTCACACCGGGCACAATTAAATTTTAAATTTTGCCCCGAGGGGCGAGTTTATTGGGCAGCGCCACTCATCCTGCGAGTGGACACACCGCCATAGTGACAGTATTGGGCAGCGCCACTCATCCTGTGAGTGGACACACCGCCATAGTGACAGTATTGGGCAGCGCCACTCATCTTGTGAGTGGACATACCGCCATAGTGACAGTATTGGGCAGCGCCACTCATCTTGTGAGTGGACATACCGCCATAGTGACAGTATTGGGCAGCGCCACTCATCCTGTGAGTGGACACACCGCCATAGTGACAGTATTGGGCAGCGCCACTCATCCTGTGAGAGGACATACCACCATAGTGACAGTATTGGGCAGCGCCACTCATCTTGTGAGTGGACACACCGCCATAGCAGCATGTACAACACTCCCCAATAGGGAGAAAACCCGCTGGGTTGTTCATCCTGTAGCCCGGGCACAATGTTCTTCCAGCCATGGGAGGGAAGCGAGGACGTGAACAAGGGGAAAGTGTCAAGTCTGTAACAGAGTTCTGTCTTACCAGTGATGGAACTGTCCCACTAAGATTATGTCAATTGAAGTCGTTGTGAGTTCAGGTCACTGTTGAATTGGGGCATATTCTCTGCTGTCACAGTCCCCGTCGACAGTGACAGCAGACAACATGTCCCAGGAGCGAGGGACAATACCTCCCTCAACTTCATTTAGGAGATAATCTGCTTGAAGTTGTCAAAGCGACGTCCACGAAGACCTTGCCCCACATCTCCAAGGCTGCCCCGTCACCAAGCAGCAGCCAAACTCACCAGTCTGCTGACAATAGTCAACAATGCTCCTAGAACCTTTGATTCATGGCACAATCTCCTACTCATTGGTAATGCATGCCTAGCATTACCCGCCGAGGAGAGACAAGTCATTAGCAGCCTATTAGGGCTCTTAATGATTCCCCAGAGCAGACACCCTGGTCCGCCTCCTCCCCCCTCGTGCCAAGAACACCAGCCGCGCAGGTTACCAACAAACAGCTCACCTGAGAACCACAGAAAGAG